GCAATTATTAATTTTTGCAACTCGAATTTATTTCGTTATCACTTGGTGAATGAATTTAATTTCACTTAAAAAAATAAGTGGAGATATTATCAACACCGATTACCAGCTTATTGAATTGAATTCATCAATGAGATTAATTTTCAAAATAACTCCAAACTCTTCCATTAGAGGAATTACCGTAAAATGTTTGATGGAAGATGAAAAATAATTGGAGCATCTGCTTTTTGAACTCCATAAGCCGTTGCATAATTTCTCGTAAATTGGCTCTCCGCGTGAAATTGATCACCCGAGGGCTCCGAAAATTCTAATTAATCTCCTCGATTTACTCCTGCCTTTTTGGTTCTCATTTAACACAAGCCAGAACAATAATACTATTTCTATACCATCCTCGAGACAATGGGGAGAATAGAGGGCATGGCGTTATCCGTACTGGAGATCGTAAAAGAGAGGTCAGAGGGAAGAGTAAAACGGAGATAGAATGAACGAGGTAAAACGAGACTAGAACTCCTAGATCATCTCGATACAGTTGTACACGGAGAGGACTCACCTATAACCGTCCCTCCGGACTTACTCCGGATGTGCACTCTGTTACCGTAGTCCGGATAAATCTACATGAGATCGTTATTTATCCGAGTGTTAAAGCTGCTTTTCGGAGGGCCCGTACAGCTGGAGATGCATCTGCTTTATGGGCAAAATAGAGAGGTAAATGGAAGAGGTAGACAAGGAAAGACGGACTGCACTTTCAAATTTTGGATTTACGGATGCTATCTGCACTCACTTGGTTGTCGATGAGTGTGATGAAAAATAATAGAAGAATTTTTTGATCGTATCAAGACAAAGTTGGAACGGTCATTCATAGGCCAGAGCACGAGGCAACATCTGCAAGTGATTCAAGGGGTGCGAAAGCTGCATCTGATAGTGAAACTCGGTGCATAATGCAGTGGATACTCCAAGAAGGTGAAGGCTATTCAAAAGTTATGACTCGGAATTGGTGAGAATGGAGAAGGAAACGGATTGACGTATTCGAGAAATATTCGATGAATTGAAATAAGTCGTTCGATTTAAAAGTGATGAGAGTCTAGCTCGTGGAACAAGCCAAAAGCGAAAATTCATTGAGCAATATTTCTTCTTGTCTGTCCCTCGAAATTCACGCTGGAGAAGAATGCTCTCTTAAAATAGCTCGACATGGCAAATCACCTGCACCATCGCCCCGTAATTATTCAAAACATCTGGGAAACTCCTAAAACCACATGAATTGCTGGGAACATACCTGAGATTGGCCCCATGACGACCGTTCAACGACACTGACTGCATAAATTCCCGGAAACTGGAGATACTAACGCATAACGACCAGATGTTTGCAGTGGAGTGAGTCAAATTCAAATCAAAATGGCCACTTAATTTAACGCTCATGTTGTGTACGTTACGACGAAGCTGGCTGCAATCAAATTTGCAATCGTAGGGAACAGTCGTTGGCTGTTGGCTAACTTTTTCAAAGGGGTTGAGAAAAAAATGGGGGATAGGGGATTGAGAAAAGTTGGTTTCATCAGGATCCTCTAAATCCCAGGGCACCAGGCGCTTTTCCACCGCCAACTGTTACATAACTATATTTTTTTTCTTCCCTCGGTTTTTCGAGGCTGTTCTCCCGCTACAGTCGAACACCGGGTTTTTATTATGTTTGCGTTAGAGTACACGGCTAATTTCTCGTGTTTGATGAAAATTAACTTCATTGTGAGGAATTTATGGGAGTTGGAGGATTTTACTTGGTTTTGTCCAAGTTTTTGGTGAATTATTCATTTGTGGAAATACTATCGCAGTTTTTACGGGGACAATGTGAACATGAATTATGGGGGTCTCGATTCAAGTGGCTTGAGGGGATTTTGAATCCAGAGTTATACGTTTTTGTTTTGAATTTCATTTAATTTCATGACTCGGGGAATTTTTTAAAAGCTCTTATTGATGAGTCGCGTATTTATGCTAAATCGGGCAATTCCTGCATGTTTTTTCATCGTTGTAATCAACTGGCAATAATCACGGCCATCAGCAATTAGTGGTGATGAATTATCTAACGAGACTTTTAGCTTACGGTACTGTTGATTCACCAGTAATAACTGAAGTGGGTAATTAAGTGCGTGATTGCCCGTTACACGTGTATCAAACATACGGAGATGATGGCGATTAGCCATGAGGAATAATTATCCGGGTAATTAGCGTACATCGGCAATGACCAGTAGATATTGAATTGTGTTGCGAAATGGGGTATATTTCCGCGGTTAATTACGTCGAAACGTCAATCTATATTTTTTTTT